AGAGAGAGAGAGAGAGAGAGAGAGAGAGAGAGAGAGAGAGAGAGAGAGAGAGGGAGAGCGAGAGAGAGCGAGAGAGAGCGACTTGTCCTTGAGAACATGCGTTGAAGCGCGCATCAGCCCGGCAACTTTCCCTTTTCCCTCTTAGAGACTAATGACTAGGCGAGAGGCACCCGGGCGAGCCACTAGTTGCCCACAGGAACCTGTGTAAACCGAGTTCTCAAGCGGCTGAGTTGAATGAAGTTATGACTGCGTTTGTTCTAATGTGTTATGGCTTCTTAAATGTGAGTTAACAGCCCCAGTGCGCTGCTAGGTCGGCATGGCGCTCGGCTGAGTGGAGCTGCAGGCAGAGACAAGGAGAGACAACTGCACCCCGCTCCTTGTCCGCTGGGTGCTTCTTCCCCGGAGTCGCTTCCGCATGGTCCAGGCGCTCCCAGGCTGTTAAGGTGCCGAGGCGAGCGACGTGGATAACCCGACCTGCGCGCTGCTAGAGCCAGGGCTGGGATTGAGAGTAGCGGAGGGGGCTCTCCCAGGAAGCCCCGCGCTTAGCACCCGCGCTTCCCCACCAGTGGCTGTGCAGATTGGGAAGTGGAGAGGTCACGTGTTGGTGGAAAGTAACTTAGAAGGGAAAGGATGAACTTCAAGGAGAAGGGGGGTAGGGGGAAAGCACAATAAAGCAAACCACTTCTGCAGCTACCCCCCCCCCAACGCCTCCGCAAAGAGGCGTGGTGGGAGAAGGGAGCTGGTCTCTGCTGGAGATCTGAGGAGAACTCGGGAAATTCAGGCAACAAGCTGTAACCGGTTCACTGGCACTGTCCCCCGGGCGCTAACCCAAGGTTTGTTTCCACTGAAGCTGCCCTTTGCTTCCCCTCAGCCGACACCTGCACAGCCAAAGAGAGGAACCGAAGATGATTTTCAGCCAGTTGTTATGGAGATGCCGGTCGCTCTGAGGAGCACAAGTGTCCTGGGAAGTCCCCAGGCGCATTTCAGGTTTCTTCCTTTTGGCTCTGACACCATGATTTTACTCACCACCAGAGTTCCCTCAAAGGAGTGCCCACCAACAGCGTCACAGGTCCGGGCCGTGGCGCTATTGACTGCAGGGATGAAGCAGAGAGATCCTGCAGAAGATGGTGGCTAGTTCCAAAAATTCAGACCACCCAGCCCTTTCCAATTTCTTCATGTCAATCCAAAATACTGCATTATAATGTCATTTGTGTTCCTTTTGTGTAAACACCTCAGTTACTTGATAGGATGATTGGAAGCACAGAACACTTGCATTTAGTGGCTCCGTCTAGACCCTGCTCCCCTCCCCCTTCCATCCCTGAATTACATTCTTTACAGAAAACGGACTTTACTTTCTAATTCTGTATATGGACTTGTCTTCACTGGAGTCTGCATTGGTACCTTATTATTATTACTAAAAGTCAGTCCAGAGTTGAGTAGATATCACTCTAGAGTTGTTTCTAGGGCCAACCCTTCTTTATTTCAGGCTCCAAGCAAGGTACTTGTATACAAGTGCTCACTGGATCTTATTAGAGGCAGTTCAAGACTTACCAAACTCCTGGAGTTGAGGTAGGTGACCATAAAAGGATGCCAGATAGTCTCACAATCACCAACACAACATAAAGAGCTGCTCAAATTGTCCACAAACTGCCACATTTTGTCGATCCATGAATTAGCCAGCAGATGCTGCCCTAAGACTGGACAGCTGGCACATACCATCCTCAGAGGTCTTGGGGGTACAGGTTCTGCCCAGGACATAATTCACAATGCTTTAATTAGGTTATCTTGCCTGTTCAATGACTCTAGTGGATAGATCTGGAATCTTGAAACAAGAGGGAGGTGACCACTATATGACTGTAATTATTCCATATTGTTATCTACATAATATATTTATCAGACTTCTTTGTCAGTAATTTCTATCTGTGTAGAGACTATAAGCTACTCCTCTGAGCATTTTTATTCTGAAATCTGTATCATATTTTATAAGGATACCTGGAATTGTTGGTGTGGGTGCCTGGGGATTAAGAACAGAAAGACTAATTGATTATTTAAAAATGATTTTGAAAACATGATTGTATTGAGAGTATTTTCCAAGCAGTATTTTTGACCATTGCTCATCTTTTTTAGAACTATTGCAAAGACTTACATCTCTTGGACCAAGGTGAGGGATAAGACATGCTATATAGTGAGAGTTGTTATAGACATCCTGGGAGAATAGTGAAAAGATGGTGTTTGACATATATGTTTCTTGATTTCTCAGTGATATGAAGGAGAAATTTTATCTTGGTGCATTATCAACTTTCCAGTTTTCTTCCTGGTCTCTATCCACTCACATATTTGCTCTTTTGTTATTTTTTTTTTTCAACTGCAGAAATCCATTGTCTAATCTAAGCAAAGGTTGTAGTCATTTCATTTGTTAAAATAGATGCCAAGCACTGTATCTGCCACAATTTTAATCTTGGGTGCACTTATTTCTAAGGTCATTTCATTTTCACTGCACAACCCTAGTCAGCTGTGATATGAATATCACACTTCTGTAGATTCATCTGACCCCTTTCATTTTTAGTAATGGTAGGAACATTTCAAACTGAACAGTAAACAAATTTTATGTCTTAAAGTTCACTACCTAACAATGTAGTCAAATTTAAACTAAGGTGTATTAATACAAATTACAGGAAAGATTTTGCTTTCAAACCATGAGTACTGTGTTCTTTATAGGTGACTTGTTTGGTATTCATATGTTTTCTACAAAAGCCATAGTTATAAAATATCTGAGTCTCATAATTAGAGTGAGAAAGATACCTAGTCAGGAGTCAACAAAATCAGAAATGAAAGAGGATTCCTTTTTTTTTTTTTTAAAGATTTATTTATTCGTACAGAACTGGGGTACAGGCCAGAGATGCGGAGGGTGAGAGGATTCACCAGAGACAAAGCCGGGAGCAGAACAGGCAGATCGACGAAATACACTGCTGAGGGGAGCAGCGGGCGGGCCAGGAGAGGTCTGCCTCCCCATGTGGTCGCCTCTGGGGCAGGCGGGGATCGAACTCATGCGGAAGTGGCTTCAGCCTCTCAGTGCAGTGCTTTAACCTGCTGCGCCACCAGGGAGGGCCGAAAGAGGATTCCTTTTAACATATACTTGGACTATCTGTTGAGACAGTCCACTTTTGATTTCTAAAATGAAATTTTGCAAGTCACATTAAAAACAATGGTTAGCGGCCCTCCCTGGTGGCACAGCGGGTTAAAGCACAGCACTGAGAATCTAAAAGCCGCTTCTGCATGAGTTCGATTCCCGCCTGCCCCGGAGGTGACCACATGGCGCGGCAGACCTCTCCTGACCTGCCCGCTGCTCTCCTCAGCAGTGTACTTCATTGATCTGCCTGTTCTGCTCCCCACTCTGTCTCTGGTGAAGCCTCTCACCGCCCCTGAGCCTCTGGCTGTACCCCAGTTCTGTATGCACAAATAAATTAATCTTTAAAAAAACAAACAAACAAAAAAAAACAATGGTTAGGAATGCCATCCCTTCCATCCCTCTCCACACCCCCCACCCTCCCCACATCAAAGCAGAAGTAGTGAGATAGTGTTCTTTTCCTTCTTTAACCTTTTCTTTCCAAATTTATTTGGTCATAGCATAGTTCCAATCTCTCCATCTCACCTTGTGCTAGATAATTTGCTTCCTTCCTTCTTTCTTACTTCTACTCCCTCCCCTTCTCTATCAGTACTTATTCCATTCCATTTTGATAGGAGCTGGAGATCCCTATATAATAATTCCCTAACTTAAAGAGTCTCACAGGCAAATAGACCCATGATTTAATCTATGAAGTCTGAGGGCATCAGGTGAAGATGACACAGTGGAAGAGAGCTTGATTAATTATTGCCAAGATGTCAACAGTATTTTCTCCTAGGATCACTTTTTATAAGAAGTGAAGAACAGTGTTCATAGGCTTCAGATACTGCTATAATTGCTGTCTTGTAGGTTGTAACAATAACAACAACAACAAAGCAGGTAGCAAAAGAATTCTGTTTATGATCTAAGAAGTGCTTCTGACCAGGTAGGAAGAAAGATTGGCTCTCTTAGTCACTTCCTGATCTCTAATGGTTCTCCACAGGCAATAGAAGGAGCGGCAAAGAATCACGATGCACAATTTGGAAAGATTTCTGAAAACAAGAATAGGCAATGATTGCCAAGAACCTGGTGTTGAGCTCATATTTAAAAAGAACTCAAGGAATCTTCCATCTACAAACCTAGTTTAGTTAGGAAGGAAACAATCAGAGCATCAAAATGAGGCTAGCAAGAGAAAGCCTTGGAAAAGTTATGATTTAGCTACAATAACCTCTGTGCATTCCTAAGCCTGACAAGTAAGCATGAGATAGAAGATCTGGATATGACTTAACTTAATTTTGGGAAAACCAGACAACCCTGTAATGAGGCTGAAACAAAACCACATGGAATATTGAGGAAGAACTGAATGACTCTTTCTAAACCATCTTACTGTCTTAAGATGAATAAGAGGAAGTATGAG